TATATATATATATATATATATATATATAATTTGCGTTATTATTCAGTAATTTATAAAATAGAGACCATAAAAAGTACATACACACCTATAGCACAAGCTCCTTACCCCTATGGACGATATAACACACATTCCATCAAGATGCCTGCAACAATTCCTTGATATCATATCCCTTGATCTACACACCAACAGCTGCCCAATGTAAAATGTATTTATGGTTCTGAAACTTCTAAGAAAAAGTATAAACACACCTATGCCAAGAAATTTAATCTGATGAACTTCTCTTCAATTTCTAAAAAAAATACAAAATGTAATGAAGAAGTAATCGATCAATATAATAAACTATACGTAATTTTATCACTGCAATTTAAGTAATTCATATCCTATGCAATTTTTGAGGAAGCAAAAGCTTGAGCTGAAGATCTAGTTCAAAGAAATATGGAATCCTACCTCGCATGTGTATGCAGAAACACATGCATTTAATATTCTTTGTCTAATGAAGTATACATCCTAAGTACGGTAATGTTGATGCCCCCACCCCCAGCCCCTCATCTTTTCCCCTAAAGGAAGGCAAAAATTAAGAAAGAAGGAGATAACATCATTGCTCACCCATTTTTCAACTAGGAAATAATATCTGAAACCAATTTGAACCAACTTTGAGCCTCCTAAGTCCAAACTAGCTATCTAGCCTTCCAAGATGTCTTCTTTTATACGATGACACACAACGAAGAATGTAACATGATATAATTATTTTGTTTCATATGGCATTTTTTTATGTCACGTGGAAAAAATGATGCACTGTAGACCTAGAAAGCAGACAAGTATGATCTCAAAAGACTATTTTGGTAAGAGAGAGATTAAGCTGGTTACATCTGGGAAGGAACCATCATGCATAGAATGTTTCAAAATTAAACACAAGTAAATTGAAAAATGCCGAAGGACATTTTGATCAGTTCACCTTTTGACCTTGAAGTTCCACTTGCAGATCTGCAATTTGTCTTTGTACAGTGGTAAGCTCTCTCAATACCCTTATCAAATCATCACCCTTTTCACTAGCCCCGCTTATTAAGTTTTGGAACTCCTCCTATACAACAGAAAAGGGAGTCAATCAAATGTTCCACAACTACAGAAGTCAGTTGAATTCATATACAACAATTTATCTAGCATAAAATCTTTTAACTCAGCACACACACAAATAAAACGACACCAAAAAAACAATCATCAGGGGAATGGAATACTACTGACAATAGACAAACTATTTAGACATCTCGATCACCCCTTAGTATTATTCACACTTCAAAAAGCTCAAGAACTCCATCAATAAAACCAACATATCAAGCGAACAACTTGATAACTCAAGAAAAAATGATTAAATAGCAATAAAGAAAAAAAATGTAATCCCCATAACTACAACCCACAGTAAACATCACAACATTTTAATCCATCGTAGCTCAGAATGCAATTTATGCCCCACCACGACAAACCCATGGCATTGGGTCGGCTTTTTCTACCTTTCTATGTATTTATAGCAGATACATTTCCCTGAATGAAAGTTCATTGCAAAACCTTCTAAAGAACTAAGCAAATAAACCGTTAGTGGAAGATTGAACGAAAAAATAATTTATTCCCATCAATTTCCATAATCTTTTAGTGGAAAAAGAAGAAGCATAACTAAAAGTGAACAATAAATAACAGGAACTTTTGTGTTGTGAGAGTAAATAGGTTAGACGCCAATGGTACCGGCAAAGAAAGCATATGAGACAATTGTGAGACTAGTGACGTACCATCGGCATTTCCTATAGGCCATTAATTTTGTTAAAAGAGCAATTAAAATAAAGACAAATTCTCAATTTCAACCCATTGGTTCATTGCAAGGAATTCATCCACTTAAACATAAGAAATATAATTCAACATTACCAAACTAAGCCCTTTTAATGGTCAAATAACAATAACCACACTTCAACAACATAGCATTAAATCATCATTACCAATATAACTAAGCTCAAATATGGAAAAAATAACATTAAATCATCAGTACAGTAATTCCTTCCTATGCTTACAACATTAATTTCCCATAGTCTAGAAAAATTGACCAAAAAGGGACAGAAAATACCTGAAAAATTGAATAGATTAAGAGCTTTTTGAGCAACTGTTTGGGGGAGAGATAGAAAGAGAGAGAGAGTGTGTGTTGAATCGATTCCTTTAGAAACAAACATGCACACATATGTCACCCTTCGGTGATGGACGGTGTTCAGAGGACCTAGGGTTTGGAAACGGGGGTTTGGAGGAAGGGCAATGAGTTGAGAATCGGAGGAGAGAGATGAAGAGCCTCCGACAAATAGAGAGAGAAAGAGAGTACTTGGTTCGGAGTGACGGTGTGAAACTCTCTCGAATAGCTCTGTGCTTTGTGAAAGAAGGTGGCGATGGCAGAAGGTGGCTGTGGCTTTGGTGTAGTGGCAAAAGGTGGCGGTGCGGTCGGATCTGTTGCTCGGCTGTGTGAAAGAGGGATAGGGGCTTCGCTGAAAAGAGAGAGAAAGAACGGGGGATTGGGGAATAGATTTAACTTTGGGGAAACCAGAACGACGTGGCTTTGGAGTAAATATAACCAAAACCCTTCCTGATGCAAGAAAATGACTTTTTGCCTCGGTAATCTTGCAGTGGCAAATACTCCTATTTTTTGCTTTGGTAAATTATGCCGAGGAAAGTATTTTTTTCCGGTATTCAGCGGAAAAAAAATATATATATTTGTTTCAAAATTTTTTTTTTTCAGTCTAATGCTGATGCAAATAACTCCAAAGCAATAACTCCAAAGCAAAAGACCATTTTTCTTGTAGTGCAATGGTGGTTCCCGCTCCTCCTCCATTAGGCATGCTCCTCATTTCTTCGTTTTAAGTCATAAAGATACTACTCTTAGCATATGTTAGCGAGCATAGGACGATCTCTATTAATTTTTTAAACCTAAATACAAGTAAAAAATTTGTTCTCTTGAGCACTAATGCTCCATTAGGTATGATAGAAAATGAAAAGAGGAAAAGTTGGAAAATAAAAAGTTGGAACAATAAATAAAATATTATGTTTTGTAAGGAAAGAAAGTAAAAAAGATGGAAAAATTTATGGATTAACTTTTTTTTCTAAATCACCAAAATCAATCCCTCTAAAATCGGAAGGAAAGTAGATGAAAAATTAATTATTTGTATTGAAATGTATCTTATTTGTCTATATATTATGTATATATTAATTTTATATAAAAATTCAATAATAAAATATGTATTTATATATATTTTTAAAAAATTTAAAAATAATTTAAAAATAAAAAATAAATTAAATTAAATTTTTTAAATTAAAAAAATTATTTTTTCATCTTATATAGGGGTGAAAATTTTCAACTTAACATGATGATACGACTCAAACTCGACACGAATTTTATGACACGAACTTGATTATAACTCAACACGAATTTGAAAATGACCTGATACGCCAACAAGAAATATAAAAGGCACATAATTTTATGATTTAATACAAATCTGACACGACATAACTCGATTGTCACCCCTGATCTTAGTCAGCACAAAAAAAAAATTTTAAAAATTAGTCATTTGCATTTTTCATCTATCTAACCAAAAACAAATAAAGGAAAATATATCATTCCTACTCTCCATCCTTGAAGGATAAAAAACGTATCCATTCTATTTTTTATTCTTCCTAATTTCTATAATTCCTACCAAACGGAGCATAAAAGTCGTTGCTCAAGAAGAGTCCGATAATGACTCAAACTATATTTTCAAAACACAAAACGGTTTAGAAAAACTTCTTTAAAAATCACCTAGAAGCCAAACAATGATTAATACCAATTTTGTTTTAACACTAATCCTCCTAAGTAAATTAAACCAAGGGATTATTTTAGGCTACAAGGTCATTATCTTGACTTAAGCATGAAAGTGCAAACAGAATACTTTTGATGTAATTCTGATGCATGATCTCCTTCTTTCAATGACGCTTTTGAATCTTCATCATTCTAAGATAATGACAATAGAATAAGTTGAGATTTACGTGAGCTCCACGAAATTAGACAATTACAAACATATGATCTAACAACCACCCCATTTGACAATTTCTTGATTGAATACACAAATAAGAAATTTAGATTATGATGATACCTCAAATAAGTTATAAGAGCGAATTCAAAAAATGAGGTCAGGTAGGATGCGAAGATCTTAGAAGTCCAGAGCTAGAGCTCCCCCCGAGGAGATGGTAGCGAAACTGACTAGGGAACAGTTGGATAACTGCAAAAATTGGATTCAAAACATGAAACTCTCAACCAACCAAGATTCTTTCTTAAAATCAAGGAGAATCCCACTAATGACAGGTGAAGATCTCGGCTAAGATCCTATAAAACAGAGAATAGTCCTATAAATACTATGTAACGCCTCATCAAGGGGGGGATAAAGAGAAAAAAAATCCTAATTTCGAGATATATCGTATTATAATGCATTTGAGCAGTGAATAGAGGAGAGGGAGCAAGAGCCTCCATTGGAAAGTGGATTAGTCGAGAAAGTGGAAACACTAATCGGTGAACCACTATACTCTTAATGTGCAAACATCCCTTAATGTGCAAACATCCCTATACTCTTAATGTGCAAACATCCCTAACCTCGCCCCCCCCCCAAAAAAAAGAATACTTTATCATAGCCATTATGAACTTGGTAGCCTGGTTACGCATTTGGTCGCGCACACACGCACTCAGCTCATCCACGTTGATTTACATCATCAGTTTGGCGCCATCTGTGGGAACCGACTGCTCATTTTACCAAAACTCAAATCTTTCTGTGACTGATGGTATCAACTCGAAACATGAGCAGAAGCCAGAAAAACCCACAATGGGTGCAGGATCAACAGGAAGTCACCAACGGTGGACAACCCTAGAACGTCCAAGAGACTAATCCACCCATAGGAAACCTCCCCACGAATAACGAAATGGAGGCCCTTTGCCTCGTCAACCAACACCTGCTTAAGCAAAACGAAGAGCTCTTAAAGCTCTTACAACTCCCACATGAGGCATAACTGGCCGAAGAAGGCCAGAACAATCCCCTTCACAGGGAACCACAACATCTCGATCCACTTAGAGAAGCCAACGAAGGAGGGAAGAACAGCTAGACCTTGGGGCAGGTCCCCCATCCACCCCCTAGGAATGGCCACAATGAAGAGGTACAAAGTCAAAACAATGAAGGTGAGAAGGATGATTTTTTCCCTTATCAGCAGGAGAGGAGAGAACAGTACTGAGAGCAACGCTTCAAGGACATCCAAGAAGAACTCAGCCACATGAAAGAAACGGTCAAAAGTAAAGCTCCAGTTACAATGGACGACTTGGTGCAACAGACTGAATCTCTATTCACAACTGAGGTGTTTCATTTCCCCCTCCCACCAAAATTTAGGATGCCACAAATAGAATCCTTTGATGAAACCAGGGACCCCATGGATCATCTCAACACCTATAAGAACTAGATGGAGTTGCATGGGTACCAGGACCTTATGCGCTGCCGAGCCTTTGCCATCACCTAGAAGGGCTTAGCCTTGGCATGCTTTAACAGGTTCCCTCCGGCCTCAATATCTTCCTTCAAGGAGCTTTTCATTTCTTTTGTGTCTCACTTCATAAAGAGCTCAGATCTATAGAAAGCCGAGCTACCACCTTTTCAATGTGAAACAGGGACCTCAAGAGAATCTCAAGTCTTACGTCCAAAGATTAAACTCGGAATCGCTAAAGGTGGATGTCCTAGATGAGAAGTTTGCTATTACCGCCTTCATAGTTGGTCTAGGGGTGTAATCTAAAGATTTGATGTTCTCTATATCAAAGAATTTCCAAGAAAGCATGGCCGAGGTGCTTGCCAAAGCAAAGAAATATATAAACGGCGAAGAAGCCCTTCTCTCAAAAGTGGGGAACTCATCAGCACAGAAGGATAAGGGAACAAAAGAAAAGAAAAGGGACCGAAGTCCTAGAAGAGAAAGAGAAAGAAATAGATCTCCGAAGAGAGACAGGTCTCCTAGAAGAGATAAGGAACGATCCCCAAAAAGGAGGAGAAACGTTAGGGATCGTTTAGGTCCCCCACAACTTGAACTACAATCAAAGTATGCACCTTAGCAGTATACCCCTCTTACTGCAGCGGTGTCCCAGATCTTATACGAGGTGCAAAACGAGAAATTCCTAAGATGCCCTTCGCAAATGAAGGCAGATCCAGCTAAAAGAGATTCTATGAAGTATTGTGAGTGTCATAGAGATCATGGCCATCACACTGATGATTGCATTCAATTAAAAAAGAAAATCAAGTTTTTGATTCAGAGGGGGCAATTATGACGGTTTGTCGCCCATGACAACATGAATCGGGCTCCACTACCACCAGCACCACCATAGCAAGCCCCTGCACAGCACCAACAACCTTTAAGGGAGATTAGAGTAATATCATGAGGTTTCGCTGGAGGAGGAGAATCTAACTCAACAAGGAAAGCTCATCTGCGCAGAATCAGAGCTGATGAGGATGTGGAAATACATACAGTATCAAAGGCACCACGCTTGGATATACCCATAACCTTCTCAAATTCAGATTTGGAGGGCTGCCAACATCCCCACGATGACTCGTTGGTGATAAAGGTGGTCGTAGCAAACAGGAGTATTTATCGAGCTCTAATCGATAATGACAACTCTGCGGACATCATTTTCTCTTCTATATTTGACCAAATGGGCATAGGCAGAAAAAAGCTTGAGCTAGTAAGTGCTCACCTAATGGGGTTTGTAGGTGAAAAGGTGTTGCCCTTGGGTTCAATCCAACTCGTACTCACCATGGAAGATCCCCCTTGCCAGGCCATCACCACAGTTAAATTCCTGATGGTCAATGTCCCGCCTGCATACAACATGTTACTCGGGAGACCTTCCCTCAACGCAATGAAAGCAATTTCATCTGTCTATCATCTGGTTATGAAGTTTTCAACAGAAAATGGAGTAGGGGTGGTCTGAGGAAACCAGCGTATAACAAGGGAATGCTATATGACTTCATTGAAGTAGAAAGAAGTTGAGAATATCTAGTTATACAAGCTTGACATGAGGGATGAGCTGGACGCTAGGCCAACACCCACGGAAGAATTAGAGCCTGTCCAAATTGGTGAAGATCCAAAACACCTCGTTTACATAAGATCTAAGCTGGGCAGGGAAATTAAGGATCTCCTTATCTAGTTCCTAAAGGAGAACGTGGGAGTGTTCATCTGGAGGCAGGAAGACATGGAAGGAATTGACCCTTCAGTCATCACTCACAAGCTATGTGTGAACCCAGCTTGCAAGCCTGTTAAACAGAAACATAGGAGTTTTGCCCTAGAACGCCAGAAAGCAATCAATGAGGAGGTCAACAAGCTTCTCCATGCTAAAGTCATTAAAGAAGTAGATTACCCTGCCTGGTTAGCTAATGTAGTTCTTGTTAAGAAGACCAATGGCAAGTGATGACTGTGCATTAACTTTACTGACCTCAATTGAGCGTGCCCCGAGGATAGTTTCCCTTTACCCTAGATCGACTTGATAGTGGAT